CAAGTATTGCAAATACTTCAGCCTGAAAAATCGTGGCATGTTTCCCAAGGGCCCCCTTGGGGACTGCCCATAGACCCCAGCACCTGCGCATTCTTCCATCCTGGAGCCATCTGTATACCAGATGATGCCCTTGGTGGGTATTATGCAGTGCCCATTCTGTTTCCAGTCTATCCTAGTAGGACTTTTGACTTGGGGCATTTTCCTGAATCGAATGATCGGTGTTATGCTGTCCCCTTTCATACTGAGTGGGGGGTAGTCGTCTGTAAGTTGCTTCCAGAGGCGAGAATGTCCGTATGTTCCTTCGCTCCTCCACTGGTTACAGCTTTGTAAGCGAACGGCGGCCTTCATCGCCTCGTGTTCTATATACAGGTTCAGAGGCGGCAGTCCGGTCAGAGTCTCCAGCGCCCTTGTCGGCACCGTCCTCATTGCTCCTGTTATGGATATGCTGGCCACTGGCCAGTCGTTAAACTCTGTCGAGCTGACTCTTCGACTTGCCTGTCAGCGTCCCTAGCCACCATACGATGGCCCCATATGTGAAATAGTATATTGTTTGACGAGCACAAAATTATAGTGACTTCCTACGAGAATGAAGTTTGCAGCATGAGCCATAGGCGAAAGCTGCAATCATTCGAAAAGGAAATTAGAATTCCGTGCAAGTTATACACTATAATTTTTCTACGGCTATAATAGATAACAGCGGCATTTTCGATTTCTTCGTCTTGTAGCTATCTGATTTCCTGTCAAGTAATGCGCATCTATCAGACAGAGTTGTCATTGCTCGAAATTTGACATTGGCGATGAGTATTTTTTTAAATATAATAACACAATGGAGTCATTGTGATATCGGATACGGAAATGAAATTGATGACATACAAAGTACTACATTGATGTATCGAACACAGTGAAACAAGAGCAATCTTGTGTTATAGCCGTAGAAAAAATATTTTTTCTTCAAAAGTTATAAAACCATTTGATGTACAAAACCTATTTCCAAGTATACCGCCCGAAGGTACTATAATTTTAGTTGAGGAGTTATTAGATAGAAACCATGTTAATCCGATTACAAGAGATTTTAGACCTCTTGTCAATATGTCTCAAACAAAATTACTTTCAATTTGCTACATAATATATTCCGTGTCAAAAGCGTTGATTAAGGGAAATTCACTGAGGCAAGTGCGGGCAAGTGTTCCCTCGATAATACTTCCATCTTATTTTTTGTACTCCTGGACATGGATGTCACGAAGGTGGCTATAGCTGCCTCCGTGGTGACGTTATTTGTTTCCCTGAGACCGCAATGAACATCTAAAACATCTTCGCCGCCAATATATAGAAATATACAGGGTGTTTCTCAAGTACGTGTAGAAAATTCAGGAACATGTTGCTGACGTCAAAATGAGAAGAAAAGTTCGTATAAATATATGTCCGAAAGTTATTCGTTTCTGAGATACAGAGTGTCAAAGTTGGATTCTTATTTTTGTTTTTGGTTAATAAATTTCAAAATAATTGTGATATTCGAATGGAGTTTGATTTATAGGGGTATTTTTCAATGACAATATAAAATAGTTTTTCTCTTTCGTGGGGGTGGCGCCACCTACATGTCTTTTGAGTCTTTTGAAAAGGCATAACTTTTTTAGCGTACCTGTATCACATTTTGTAGTAGAAAAATAACTTTCTAGAACCTTTTCGAGTGGAAAATATATTCCTGTTAGAGGTCGCTGCGAGCAACTGTTTTCGAGTTATTGGTATTTGAAATAATCGATGCATTTGAATTATTTACATGGGGCTCGTGAGTCGCCTCTAAGAAGTAAATATCAGAAATGATACGCCAGTGCATTCTTCTTCTTTTATTCAATATTCTCCTACAGATGGATTGGCCGAGGAGCTGAAGTTCCAAATCAGTTCTGGCCTTCGAGGTACCCGGATTTAAATCCAATCGATTTTTTTTGTGGGATCACTTGAAGGCCTTTGTTTAAACGTTGCCAATAGAACCAATAGAAAGCGAAGATCAGCTTCGTCAACGGATCATTGCTGGATGTGACGCTATACGAAATACACTTGGTATAATGGAACGTGTACGTGGGTCTATGAGACGACGACTCGGACGACGAGCAGACGCATGCATAATGATGCAAGGTGGCCACTTCAAACAATTACTTTAATCAATTCCCTCAACCAACTGTTTTAGTATTGATTTGGTCTTAATTACTGTTATATATTATCATCTTATCATCAGTATTGAATTGTAATAACACCCGATTCCTATTTCAAAATGGAATTGATGAAGAATAATTTGCCTTAATATATCAATTTTGAATTCTAATTTCTTGTCATTCCAAATCCCAATAACGACCAGCGACCTCTACCAAGAATATATTTTTTACACAAAAATGTTCAAGAAATATATTTTTCTTCTCAGAAACGAATAACTTTCGGACATATATTTATACGAACTTTTTTTTCTAATTTTGACGTCAGCAACATGCTCCTGAATTTTCTACACGTACTTCTCAAGAAACACCCTCAGGTACGCACAAAATAGTTATGACTTTTCAAAAGACTCAAAAGACATGTAGGTGGCGCCACCCCCACGAAAGTAGCAAAGTAACATAAAATTTGATATTGTCATTGAAAAATACCCCTAGATACCAATCAATATTCGAATATCACAATCATTTTAAAAATAAGAATTCAACTTTGAGACTCTGTATCTCAGAAACGAATAACTTTCAGACATATATTTATATGAACTTTTTTTCTAATTTTGACTTCAGCAACATGCTCCTGAGATTTCTACATGTACTCAAGACACACCCTGCATATGGGTTTGAATATGAAATTTTCCTACGACCACGTATGAAAACAGCACAAAACACATTGATTTGTTATTGAGAAAGTGACTCGTTTCACTATGACAACATATAACAGTTAGAAAGTTCGAAAGTAAAAATCACATGGGTGGAAATATTCGAAAATCGCACAGTAACAGGGTCTATAGATTATGATGTAGGTACCAATAAATGATCATTATGCTGAATTATGGTAAGTTAAGTTATGGTCAAGTTAATGGAAAGTTAGTGTCGATTTAACATGAGTTATTATTGTCGTTAATGTTGACGTAATGTTGAGTTGATGAAAAGTTGAAATCACGTTAATTTCAATTGAAAGTTGAATTAATGTCAATTATGTATAGGCAATTTAGTGATCAATGTGAAGTCAATGTCAATTTGATATGGAGTTGATGTTATAATTTGATTTTAAGGTAATGTCAAGTTAATTTTGAGTTAATGTTGTTTTAATGTTGAGTCAATGTTGAATAATTATTGAGTTAATGTTAAGTTGTTGTTAAGTCAATGTTAGGTTAATTTTACGTTAATGTTGAGTTGATGTTGAGTTAATGTTAAGTTAATTTCAAGTTAATGTTAAGAAAATGTTAAATTTATGTCAAGTTGATGTTAAGTTGATGTTGAGTTAATGTTGAGGTAATGTTAAGTTCATATTGAGTTAATGTTAACTTAACGTTAAACTAATGATGTCATTTAGATATTGAAGTAAAATTAAATGATAATGATAATGATATCACCTTCATGTGATCGAATATGATTAGAAACATGATCCCTACTCTGGTCTTATAAACACTAATGACATATAATATAAATATTTGTGGTCGTTGGAAAAATAGTGCACAAAACTCGTTGGAAAATGCATTTCCTGCGCTCGATTCGTTTCCGCAGTCGCCGCTCTGCGGCTCGTGCTAAACGTCCACACGCGCGAAATATGTCTCTTCCCACACTAGTTATGTAATATACTATTAGATAGCATTACTTTTTAACAATGAAAATTTAATTCCACAAATCCCAAACGCCGCGTGATTGTCATTATGACAACGAAAAAAGTTTGCCCTAACTTTTTCAGCAACAATAAGGGAACCTAACTTTTGAAAGCATGACTACCAGCCATAAATAAATGTTTGATGAATTAATTAATTAATTAAACTTGGCATTAATAATTCGAATTTTGTTATCATTAGGTAATTCAACTCAAAAAACTGCCAGAAAAAATTACTGGTCCTATGGACTAATTTTTTCAGAGGCAGGTTTTTTCGTCAAATATCCAGGCAACAAAATTTTTATTGATACCTGTCAAAAGATCCCGCACTTTCCTTATGGAAAATGGCTTTCGGTTGAATTCCTTGAATTTTTGGTATGATGTAGATTTTGACTTCCTAAGCAAAAGTGTCCGTGGGCACAAATAAATTAGCTGACTAGTTTTTGAGATACAGGGTGTCAAAGATGAAAAGTGAAGCTTCTTCTCAGAATTTTTAACAACTCCAAGAATTGACAAAACGCCCATTTATTCATGGAATAACATGCCTGAATGATGGTACAATGTCATCTGGATCTAGTATCCATCAAAATTTTACGTTTTGGGCTCTACCACAGGGTGAACAAAGAAAAATCCAATTCGATGAATTTTAAATCAACCAGGGTAAGTTCTTTCATGGGAATCCAATTGAGCCTGGATGAACTTCCTCAATCTCGATCGAAGTTTACCATCATTGGGGCCATTTATTCATGGATTAACAATCCATGAATAAATGGGCGTTTTGCGAGGCGTTTCGTCAATTCTCCTAGTTGTTAAAAATTCTGAGCAGAAAGCTTCACTTTTCATCTTTGACACTCTGTATCTCGAAAACTAGTCAGCAGATTTATTTGTGCCCATGGACACTTTCGCTTAGGGAGTAGAAATCTACATCATACCAGAAATTCAGGGAATTTAACTGAAGGCCATTTTCCATAGGGAAAGTGCGGGGTCCTTTACTTCCCCAAAAAAACTCTCCTGTAATTATTATAAGTGATAAAATTTGATTACTCTCATATGGTTTCCATAAAATATGAATTTTAGTAATTCAAAACATCAGTCAACACCTAAAGGATTTACAGATATTTCATAAAAATTTCCATCATAATTTTGACATTTACAAAAATTAGAAGGACAAAAAAAGAACCGTCTAGCATCCAAACTAAGCAACTTCATACTTAGGTGAGTTGGGTTGTATGGGATTGTTTTGGTATGAGGAATATGTGGTAAGTTTATGTATAGGCCCTTTATGGCCACCCTGTATATATTTTTTTCTTGTGTTAGTGTTAATTACCATAAGACATATTTTTCAACATTTTATTGAATGAATCATGTTAATATGATCATTATACCTACTATCAGGAGGTATAATTTTTGTGCCACAAGACCTAATTGAAACTGTAGGCTGATTGAAATTACTGTTAATATCAGTAAGAATGGAATTTAATATAACACTATAATAATAAAGGACAATATTATAAATACAGTTCCTTAACTTGGGTGACAATCCATATCATGATTTTTCTGTTTCACTGATTGAATTTCTTTCAGAACCAACTTCTCAAACTCAATAAGCTCATTTGGTTTCTCATAAACAACAATCAATGTATTGAATTTATGAGAAAAAGATATTTTGCAAGGTTCCAATACAATATTGAGTCTTTGAAGTTCAGGAACAGCAAGTTTTTTGAAATATTTGTTATTAGTTGTTTTAATAACAAGACAACCTTCTTCAGGATTTACTGTTACAGAATATATACTCAAAGGGTATGGCAAGTTACGAATACGCCATTCAAGATTTACCCTTGTATTTCTTCTAGTCACAAATGGTTGATTGGAACTTTCTTGTATCAAAGTTTCATCTTTAGAAGGTGTTGGTTCTGGATCTCCCATTTCTACTTCCCAATTGTCTTGGAGCCCCAATTCTTTCTTGCTCTTCCATGCTCTTCTAGTAAGAACATTAGTGTCCATATTATATTCTTCCACCATTTCTCTGCCATTTTCGAAGGCATAATGCACTTTTTTGAGATTTCTGTCCACTAGACAAGATTTCTTAGCATTTTTAATCTGTGATAACCAATCACTCATTTTGGTAGGTATACACCTTTAGAATATTGGAAAGCTATTCCGAGTGAAAACTACATATGCTGCTATCAACAGAATAGTATCGAAATCGAAATGAAACCCATCGATCAAACTTTTCCATTTTTAAATTTATAGAATGAGGTTATTCGTTATTTTGACATCATATAAACAAAACAAAAACAGTAGCAGCAGTTGACTTGACATATCCGAAGTCCGAATTTTCCGAAGCAAACCGAATGAACCGAACGCACCGAATGACCAGTGGTGGCGTTATTGAAAAATTTGTTCTGGCGAAGTTGGTCTGATTATGTACAGTGTTGCCAACTTAAATGTCCCAATGTCGCAAAATGGCCATAAAGAAACCACTGAAAAAAAAAACAAATCTGAGGAAACTACGAAACATGCGCCGCAGGCGGAAAATTTTGGAGATTTAGTGGTTTTCTGATGGTTTCAATTTCAGTTCAGATCACAGAATAACATTCAGATATTGGAAGTCTTCTGGACAACGAAACTTGGGTTATATAAAAAAAATCAGAGGTGAAACTGGTGAAAGGAGTCAGTTGTTTTCAACATTATGGTTGAGTTTCAACTCAAAAATATTAGTATACAGGGTGTCCTTAAAAAGTCTTTACAAAAAGCTACCACATATTCTTCAGACCAAAACAATTCGATACAAGCAAACTTACCTCAGTGAAAAGTTGCTTAGTTTGGGCGCTAGACGGCTCTGAAGTTGAAATTTTCAAATCGATTTTGCTTCATAACTTTTGAACGGCTCATGAGATTTTTTTCAAATTTGGTACGTTGGCATAGACTCATCGGGCAATGAAACTCATATCATAATCATAATGAATATCATTCCATGGGCGTAGAACTTGATTTTTTCAGGAAATAAACATCTAAAACTCCTACGCCAATGGAAAAAAATTAGTTTCAATATGAAATCTAAATTATTCAACTCATTCACTACAAAAAAGGTACTCTTGACAAAAGTCGATTCCTCTCATGGTTTCGACAAAATTTTAATTTTAGTGATTTAGAGCATAATTAATAATAAAACGATTAACAGATATTTCATAAAAATTGTTCAAAATGTTCACCATTTTCACGTATACAAAGATTTATACGACGCAAAAAGTTGAAATGTACTCTTTGCATAACTTCTTCATCGCCCGTAAGATTATTCGTCGCCTGTTGGATACGTTGCCATAATTGTTCTACAGTATTCACAGGGGTCTTGTAAACCGTAGACTTGAGATAACCCCATACAAAATAATCCATCGGTGTTAAGTCTGGAGAACGTGGTGGCCAATTCACGGGTGCATCATTACCTCTACCTATCCATCTGTCTGGGTACTGTTGGTTTAAAAAATTCCTAACATCCACCGAAAAATGTAGTGGAGCTCCATTTCCTATTATTTCAGCCCAAACGTTGATTTTGAATTCGTGTTGAAAATGGTTTATTTTAATGGAATGAGGATTTTCAATTGCATAAACGTGTTCATTATGAAAATTAGTTATTCCTCTTCTCGTGAAACAGGCTTCATCAGTGAACAAAATATTCTTTCCAAAGTTCAGATTCATTTCTCTTTGCAAATTAATGAACCTACAAAACATCAGACGACTTTGTGAATCATGGATTAATAAATCTTGAACTGGCGTCTTGTGGTATGGGTATAATAATTGGGTTCAAGTTTCGTTTAGCTGAAATCAGTTATGGAAAATTTGTTGCTATGGCAACCGTTGTCATGGTAACAGGTAAACAGAAAACAAAACCCCGTGGTGAGGAAATGCATGGTTGCCAAGTTGTATCGGGTTTAGTATAGCTGAAATCAGTTATGGAAAACTTGTTGCCATGGCAACGATCGTCATGGTAAGGAGTAAACAAAAACCCGATTCCAGTGGTGAGGAAATGCGTGGTTGCCAAGTTGTATCGGGTTTAGTTTGGCTGAAATCAGTTATGGAAAAACTATTGCCATGGCAACGATCGTCATGGTAACGAGTAAACAAAAATCCGATTCTATTGGTGAGGAAATGCGTGGTTGCCAAGTTGTTTCGGGTTCAGTATAGCTGAAATCAGCGCAATCTTCGACCCTCAAATTTTGTTTCACTAAAGTTCTTGCTAGTATTCAACAAATAACTTGATTCGAATGAATACCCTTCTTATCAATTTCTTGAAGACTGTTCGTCGTTGATTAATTCCCAAATTACTAATTCTATGACGATCATATATGGAAATAACGTCAGGAAAAATAGGCTTTGTTATTGAACAGAGCTAGACAAAATAGCGAACGACAAAATATTGCGGAATAAATAGCGCATAGGGCAGGATACCACTTTTTCTAAACAATCTAACCTAACTCGGCTTGCATGAACCTTCTTAGAAAAAATATATTTTTCAACATCGATCAGATCTGGTAGGAAGGCATTGTTCGTGTGTGTTTGAATACTGCATAAAAAATGACACTACTTTTTTCCAAACAATCTAACCTAACTCGACTTAAATCAACCTTCTTCTTGAAAAACATATATTTTCCAACATCCTTCAGATTTGGTTGCAAGACATCGTTCGTGTATGTTTGAAGACTGTTGCTGAATCGAAATGTGCGCGTGAAGAAAGGTATGGGTGAATAGAAATAAAGGAAAATGGAAATGTGGGTGGGCCTAACGAGATGTTTCCATCTGTATTAGGAAATCAGTACCTGTAGTCTCTCTTTCTTTATCCTGCGCGATACCTCGTAATGAATATTCCAAAATGGCTGTTCCTTTTTGATTTTGTCAAATAGCTCGGCACGCGAAGGATAGTTACATTGAAGAGTGTTTTTGAAATTAATGAATGAAGCAATAATTTTCCGATACAACTTGGCATCGTTTTCATGGCAATAGTTTTTCCATAACTGATTTGAGCCAAACTAACCCCTATACAACTTGGCAACCACGCATTTCCTCACCACGGGAATCGGGTTTTTGTTTACTCCTTACCATGACAATCGTTGCCATAGCAACAGTTTTTCCATAACCTATTTCAGCTATACTAAACCCGATACAATTTGGCAACCACGCATTTCCTCACCACGGGAATTGGGTTTTTGTTTACTCGTTATCATGAAGATCGTTGCCATGGCAACAGTTTTTCCACAACTGATTTCAGCTATACTAAACCCGATACAACTTGGCAACCACGCATTTCCTCACCACGGGAATCGGGTTTTTGTTTACTCGTTACTATGACGATCGTTGCCATAGCAACAGTTTTTTCATGACTGATTTCAGCTAAACGAAACTTGAGCCAATAATTGTTCTCTTAGTACTTCATGAACGGCATTCCTAGAAACTTCTAGTTCATTACTTATCCGTCTAGTACTCAATTCTGGATTTTCTTCAATACGGTCTAAAATTTCTACTTCGACTTCGGGAATCCTTACATAACGCTGTCTTCCATAATCACCAGTTCTAGGAGCAAAATGACCGGTCTCCCGAAGACGTCTCTCAACTGCAGCAAAGGTTGGGTGGCTTGGTACGCGACGATTTGGAAACCTTGCCGAATACACCCTCACACTCTCTCGACCATTTCCTTGACAATATCCGAATACCAATAACATATCGGTGTATTCTTCATTGGTGTATTGTACGGCCATGATAAATCAGAAAAGTCCGATATCAACAATCAACGTCAATAAAACTCGACAAATCAACACAGATGAAACTATGGAAACCAAGAATGTGAATATCACTGTTTTCGAGCAGATAATAATAGTCTTCAGAAAAAAAAACCAGTGCTACTTATTTTCAATAGAAATAACCTATGCAAAAAGTACATCTCAACTTTTTGCGTTGTATAAATCTTTGTATACGTGAAAATGGTGAACATTTTGAACAATTTTTATGAAATATCTGTTAATCGTTTTATTATTGATTAAGCTCTTAATCACTGAAATTAAAATTTTGTCGAAACCATTCGACCATTTGTCAAGAGTACCTTTTTTGTAGTGAATGAGTTGAACAATCTAGATTTTATATTGAAACTAACTTTTTCCATTGGCGTAGGAGTTTTAGATGTTTATTTACTGAAAAAAGCAAGTTCTACGCCCATGGAATGATATTCATTATGATTAGGATTTCAACTTTTTGCGTCGTATAAATCTTTGTTCACGCGAAAATAGTGAACATTTTGGAAAACTTTCATGCAATATCTATCAATCGTTTTATTATTTAAATATGCGCGAAATCACTAAAACTTAAATATTGTCGAAACCATCAGAGTAATCGAATTTTATCAAGAGTACCTTTTTTGTAGTGAATGATTTGGGCTATCTAGATGTCATACTGAAACTGATTTTTTTTCATTGGCGTAGAAGTTTTAGATGTTTATTTCCTGAAAAAATCAAGTTCTACGCCCATGGAATGATATTTATTATGATTATGATATGAGTTTCATTGCCCGATGAGTCTATGCCAACGTACCAAATTTGAAAAAAATCTCATGAGCCGTTCCAAAGTTATGAAGCAAAATCGATTTGAAAATTTCAACTTCAGAGCCGTCTAGCGCCCAAACTAAGCAACTTTTTACTGAGGTAAGTTTGCTTGTATCGAATTGTTTTGGTCTGAAGAATATGTGGTAGCTTTTTGTAAAGACCTTTTAAGGACACCCTGTAGAACTACCAGAGAGCAAAACAAACAAAATAAATTCCTCAAAAGATCAACGACAGAAGTATAATTATACAGGCTGATTTTAAAATGGGTGCATATATTCAACACATATATATGAGAGAGTCTAACAAAAATTACTAAAATATTTGATTTTTCCTAAGTCTTCACATTAACGAGAAATTTTATTTTGAAAATTGAACATAAAATGCTCTGAAATTCGAGTACGCCACTGGGAAGCAAGTGAAATCTGCGGAATCCCAGGGAATCCCCAATTCGTCATTCACTAACGTCAAAACAAGACGGTGATGCCAGATTGTTTCAGAGACGAATATCCTGATAAAAATTTGTCACAGAATGAATATGAATTGGAATAGGTCATGGAAACTAATAGAGGTGAATGTAATATGTACAGGAGCCTTATTTTTTGAAGTTTACTGAGAGAACTGTGGGGTGCATGATTATCTCCATGGATCACGAGAGACGGAG